GCGTGGGTGGCCCAAGCAAACTGAATGATCTGACGCGGGAATGGGTGATGGCAAGAATGTGCCGCCCTCCCTAGGCAGAATGGGGAGAGAAAAGAAAAAGAATGGGGGACCTATGTTTTGATGGTTAGCGAGCTGCATACCCAGGGTAGGTAGGAGTGACAACGCAAGAGCATCGCTAACCCACAAAAATGGGAGGCGCAACAATGTGCTCACCATACTAAGAAGGTTGAAAAACCGCTGACGCCTCTTTCTGGGACGTAAAGTGAATGAAAGCTACATGTAAAGCCGGCTTGTCTTGAATGTATGGTGTGAGAATTTGGGCATGGCGATGCAAGTATATCAAGAATGTGTTACTCCGCCATCTACCTTTGGCCTTCATGACTTCAAATAGAATACCTCGAAGGAGATATTTGAAAGTGGTGCCAATGCACAGGCTGTGTCCCAAAAAGTGGGGTAAGTGTTTTGCAGTTGTTACTCTGTTGAGTTTATCGATGAACGCGTTGCGAGTCATTGGTTTGAGGGTGTGGGATGAAGAACGGGGTTGTCGGTAGGCAAATGTGTGATCACTGTCTTGTGGCTTATTAACCTCAATGTCAATGTGATTGTTCCATGCTGCTAATGGATCACAAGGACCTTGTTGTTCAGCCCAGGAGACAGTTGTGGGTGTCTTCTCTGTTTTAGTGACAGGTAACACAAAACCTTTTACCTTGAATCCGTGACGATCCACAACGTCTGAGATTCCGGAAATGGAGCAGTGTACATTGGGATCAAATTCACTGACTGAGGCAATGGTGAATTCTCCTAGACGCGCAGCTGCAAAGAGCGTGGTGGTTATGCAAGCAAAGAAAGCCGCGTCGAATGGCTTTGATAAATCTAGACCCTCTTTCACTTTGCAAATTAGTTCAATGGTGAAGGGTTCGCGAGGGGGCCACTTAGAGGAAGGGGGGATTAGGGCCCAGGTGGCTGTCAGTAAAGAAGGTATTTCTGGTTCATTCATGTGCCATTCCAGGCCATGCAGTATGTGCCAAGCCCGGATTCCGTAGACATAGTTCCGAATTGTCTTGTTGGAATACTGGCCAGCAAGTGTGGCAATGAATGATGCTATGAGATCTGAATGAGCAGGCGCCCGGTCTGCCTCTGCGATGTTTTGTGAATTGCAGAATGCATAAAAAATGAGAAGTCCTGAGCCATAAGTTTTGCGCATGGAAGATGACCATGCATTGACTATTACTGAAGTGATGCGTTCAAAGTTTTGGCGGGTGATGAAACGGTGTGAAGGTGCATTAGGATGAGGGCGGGTAGTGATGGGGGTCCAAGCAGTGAGGCGGTCTTTCGTGAGGCAATTGGGGCGATGGGATGCGTGGAGGTTTGTAGTGTTCAGTGGATTGGGCGGGTTTAATGGTAGGAAGCGAGGGCTGAAAGGGCGGGAACTGTCTGGGAGCGCTTGGGTGCTGCTACTACATGAGTCTACTCTGGAAAGGGTTAGGGAAGAAGATGTTGTGGTTGCGGATGGTGCTTCTAAGCTTTGGAGGGAAAGAGCCAGTGCTGCTGATATCATGTGGTTCATAGATGACTTGATTGATCTCGTTGGGAATGCTGACTCTAGGGAGAGTGAGCTTGCGAGCCGGGTATGATCCTCTGGAAGGCGGGTCTGCAGGATTGATGTGAGTGTTGACGTATTCTGTGTGGATGACACATTGGTACGACTCTGCAAACTCGCTAATCCTGCGGAATACTCTGTTGGTTTGTTTGTGCCTACTCCTGCCTTTGGGCCAGGCTTGGATGACACCCTTGTTGTTGCTGCGGATGAGAATATGAGTGCGTTGAGGGAGGATTGGAAGTACGGATTGAACAGCCAATTCAAAGGTGACGGCTTCCGCCCATACAATATCTCTACCTGGTATTTGCCAGTTTTTCTTGAGTAACCAAGCTCTCTAATGGTGTCTGATAATGATCCCAAGGCCAGTTCCCGAGCTTGCATCAAAGAATATATTAATGTCTAGGATTGGCTGGGGAAATGAGATGTAGCGACAGGGGGACTCAGCTGTAAGTCTTTCTTTCCACCAGCAAACATTGTTAAGGATGTCTCGTGGGGGAGTGCGGGGTTTAAAAGGTTCACTATGGAACATTCCAGTGAACGCTTTGAGACTAGTTAGGTAAGCTCGGCCGGTGGGGATCACTAACACCGCATGTTGAAGTTTGCCCAATAGCGATTGGGCCTCTTCAAGTGTGTGTCGGGTGGAGGATAGCCAGAAATAGATGGTGTCACAATATTTTTTGCATTTTTTGGGTGGGATTGATACTGTGCAACGACTGATGGACCACGTGAAACCTATGAATGGGAATTCATCAGCAAAGGGTAGGTCTTTCGAACGTTCCCATGGAATGCCTAGTTGAGATGAGATGGCGTCAATGTCTTGTAAGTTATATGCAAAGACTCTGTCGTCATCTGCGTGGGGGGAAGCATCAGAAAGATCTCTGAGACAAAAATGCATGTCTTTGTCAAATTCTTCTGTTTCCCTGTTAGCATAAGTGTTCCCAAAGTACAAGAATTGTCCTCCGTTCTGTATGGGGCCTCCTTTACTCGCTATGGCTTCTTTCCAAGAAGAACACAATATATTGTAAGATTCTAGGTAAGATACAGGCACACATATGAATACGTGGTTGTCGACCCACTTAAAGATTGGGCCAATTCCTTTGGAACGGAAAATATTGGTCCCGGTATCTCCTATAATACTGTAGATGCCTGCAGAAGAAGTGAGGCCGAAACACGCTGATGTGTCAATTACAAATGAATCTTTGCCTGCCAGACAAACAACAAGGCCTGGCCACTGGGAGGGTGTGATAGGGATGGTTCGGTAGGCTTCTGCAACATCATGAATAGCTGCTTGAGTCCCTGGTGGGAGATGTGCAATTAAGAGGGAAAATATCGAAAATGTCGACCATGTGGAAGGAAATTTATCTGAATCTATGTAAGAGTTGACAGAGGTGGTGCCTGCTGCCGGTTTGTGAGGAAATGATAGGTTCTGGATCAAGTGGTATTCTCCTGGCTTGCCGGGTTTTGGTATGAGGGAAAGCGGGGAAGATTGAAAAGGTCTAATTGCGCTTTCAACTTCAGCTTTGGACATAGGGCCTATATAATGCTTTGACTCGAATTCTCGAGCAGTTATGTCTGAGAAAACTTTGACTTGACTATTGACTGTGATATTATTTTGAGGCACAAAGGTCCTCGAGAAGGATGGTATGGCCGCATCGAAGCCGTATGTGAGCGTGTGTAGTATGATAGGGTATTTATCTAACAAGTTTGCGTTTTGCAGAGCTGAAGCCCATGCCTTGACTTTATACGGTGTAAGTGGCTGGGTTCATCTGTTGTTTAGGGCATTCACGTGCTCCATGATTTGTGGCTCCACAACCTGAGCATTCATGCTTCTCAGGGTGAGAGGCGGTTTTGCAACCTGAGGCGCACTGCCAGTCAGTACAGATCTCTCTGCTGGCTGGGTTAATGATGCGGCCATTGGTGTTGCGGGTGCAACGAGCTGCGTTTCCGTCCCAAGTGATTTCGGATACGCAGGAGGGGATGTGGTGGGGGGATATGCCCAAGCAGATGGCGCATACGGGTAAGATTCACTTCTTTTGCCCTTTGGGACGAAAAGACTTTTGCATGTTGTTACAATAACACAATTTTTGGACCTTTCCTTTAATTTTCATTCTCCGCCTTAACCTTTTACTATAGTTCACACTCCGTGCCATGCGGCACTTTCCTTTTTTGTTCTAACTCCACTTTCTCGTGCAACACTGCCTTTATTCTTCTTTTAGACACAAACTCTCTCACGCAGTGGAGCTAACCACACAGGCTGCGCCCTCTGACATCATCAGCCACTACTTTTATCAACTGTACAGTACATAGGTACAAACACTCTGTATTAGTATAAATACCCCAATAGATCAAGGAGACTCCTCAGCAAGTCCTCCTGTTGTTAACCAACAAACTTTCTGCAGCCTAAGGGATAACCACTCCCCATTCACTACCCTTATAGTGTGTTCTTGTGTGCGCCAGAGTAACTAACTCTTGGTTGTTACACATGTCTTTATTTGCGTTGTTGTAGGGAACATCTCTGCTCTTTCTATAATGACTTTTGTCTGCCTTTGTGTATGGTCGCGTATATGGCTTTTCCGCGCGCTTACTATCACTGTAACTACACTCATGGCATTTGTGTGGTTGATACTGGGTGAGGGAGGATAGTCTGTTTTGGATCTATTGTTGCAATGTCAAGCGTGAGAATGACATATACGAGTATGTAACAAGTAATAAATGTCATTTTTGAGATTCGAAGAATCACGGTATGATGGTTGTGGGTAAAACGCGATGTGAAGAGGTATGAGGACGCAAAGAACACGGTTTCACAGTGTAGACAAGATAGGATCACATTAAAAGGTGATGTTTGGGGAAAATATGAGTATGCTGGTGTAAGGGATGGAAGGCAACCCACTAACCTGATTGAAACTTTCATTGTTGAGGTCCGAGAAGTATTCTCTCTCTATATGACTGAGGCGATTCTCGTTGATAGTGGAGATGTCCCATACTTTCACTCCTGTGTGCTTGAAGGATTTGTGCCGTTCCCTCCGTGCCTGAGCGTGATACGCGACTAAGATTTTTTCACCATGTTGTCTACGACGCTTGGGGTGCATATCGAGTTGCAGGTAGAAGTGACTTAACATTCTAGTGTAGTCGCGCTTCCAACCTGCTTTATCCATCTCATTTATCATGCAGGTTCAACCCACAAAAATCTGGCTGAGTGATAAATCTTTGTTGTGCAGCGCGTTCTTGGAAGCACGATAGGCTGAGGTGGGTTTGAGTGAGACTAAATTGTTCTCTCCTGATATCATGCTCAGAGAGTTAGCTACTGTTTGTTGACATGCTGAAGCATCACAACAGCATTCAACTGTGAAGTACCAAAGCTTGATGTAATCGCCGTTTTTGATCTTGTTGATGGCGTAAGGAGACAGTTTGTCGATGGTAAAGTCGGGTATGGTGGAATTGCTGTCTATTTCGTTGAAGGCGAGTTTGGAGTTTACTATGCTGCTCGGCTCTAGTTCGGGAGCGAGGTTTGGTTGATTGTTGGCTTGAGGTATTGGTGTAGTGTTTCGCGATGGAGGAGCTGGGGATGGTTGTCGATTGATCTGTTGCTCTGCCACCCATGAATCAACTAGGGATTGTACAGCTTGCTCTTCGGATATGTTGTTCGCTTGGACTAGAGCGTCTCGCATGATTTGAAAAGCTGGGCTTCAGAAGTTGGGGAAGCCCTGTGGGATGACAATGCCTTGCTGATCAGCCATGAGTTATTGTAACAACCAAGAGTTTGTATACTCTGGCACACAACTCAGACAAAGCTGTAAAGGTAGTGAGGGGAGTGGTTACCCTTAGGATAGGACCGAGTTAGTTGTGGGTAAACAACAGAAGGACTCGCTGAGGAGTCTCCTGGATCTATTTGAGGTATATATACTACTACAGGTTGTTTGTACATGTTGTACTATACAGTTGATAAAGCAGTGGCTGATGATGTCAGAGGGCGCAGCCCGTGTGACCAGCTCCACTGTGTGAGAGACTGTAGCT